GATGATTTTCTGGAATTATCATCCCACCCTTATTTTCAAGTTGCCAAGTTTGAAAAACACCGACCTATACGTAGCATCCTCCAACAGCTGAAACTGTGGCTGCTTACCTTCATAGGCGGTGGCTGTTGTCTGAAAGTTGCCGTCTGCCTTGTATCCTGTTTCCGAGCCACCTGCAGCTGTTGGGCGGCTGCTGCAGCTGCAGCCAAGGATTCTGGGATTGGAGGTTCCTGCGGCTCCGTCTGCCATTCGGCTTTCTGCTTTTCAAAGTAACTAGACGGATCACAAAGCAAAAAACAATCAGGGCCGAAGGATTCAGAAACGGACCGACTCTTACGTTTCACTTCTATTTGTAGAGAGCAAAATGGAATAAGCTATCTCCAGGACGTTCTAGTTTTGTCCCTGAAGCGTCCTGTCTCCCTCTGTGAAAAATGGGGGGATTTTTTTGGGGGGGGGTATGTAATTACAGAAGTGGATCACCCAGAATAGAAACAGCCAGATGCACTTCCTGGTCTGGATGATCCATTTCTGGAAAGTCACCGACGCTCTTGGAAGGCTTGGATTGCCTCGTTCCAGAAGAAACTAGGACCTTCTGGGAGAAGAATGCAAAGTCCATTTTGCCCCTCTCTGGTTTACATCAGTCTTCCCTACCAAGGCATTGCTAGATGCTGTTGGAGGGTGGTGGCCCTGACCAGGAGAGAACCGGGTTACAAAGGACGAGTCTAAGCAAATCTGCTTGCTATGTTATTGAAGCCAAAAGACAGATCAAGTGGACTGCCAAGTGGAGGGTAAAACAGCTGGCAAACAGGAATGCCCTCCCAGACTCTTCTCTCGGGACCCACCAGGTTCCCTATCCCGCCTGATGTTAAACAGGAAGGTTGCACACTGCCAAGGAAGGAGCATTCTCTAGCACCATATTTATGTGCACTAATCACTGATGTCTAGTAAAAGGCACAATGACATCCTGTGCACCATGATATCATCATGCACTTGATACAATGATGTACTGGCACACAGAACATCACCTGTCCCCTTACCTACCTTGCAGATGGCCATGGTAGCAACATCTCTGGGGTCCACAGACATTTCATTAGTTAAGAGTAGTATAACTGGGCAAAGGTTTAGAACACCTTCCTGTAAATAGGTGTTTCACGTCTGGTGTGCCCGTCATGGCAAGCATGAATAAGTATACAACTCTTCTACCCGTGGCAATGCTTTTGTGTGCCTACCACAAAATTGCAGTTGTATCCCAACCTCAAAAGCTGAGCCACTCCCAATATAGTTTATCGTGCCTCTATGCACCCCTTTACTTTCCCCTCCTTTCTTCCACCAGACCCAGGGGTGGAATTTAAAACATTCAGACCCGTGGTCTTCTCCTCTTACTCAAGGGAAAGTTTCTCTTCCTCTTCACACAAATCAGGCAACCTCTGCAAACCCAGGGTCATCCTCAAAGCATCCACGTGCTCTTTCAGAGGCTTGTATTCCTCATGGAGGCGGCGTGTGGATTCCAGGAGTTTGTTCAGATCGTTCTCAGACTGTTTGATCGTGTTCTCCATCTGGAAGAGAAGCAGGAGATCCATTCCTTGAGCAGGTCCCTCCCTCACTTCTTATTGGCTGCTCCAACCTGATGTCACGGAGGGCTGAAAAAAAAGCTGGCTGGTGGTCCCCTTCTAACGCCAGGTTTTCTTTTCTCATGCGCAAGGCTCCAGAGAGAGCAGAGAAATAGTTGTGCCAGGATACAGAAAAAGAAGGATATGGCAGAAAGACACACCATTTTTTCCCAGCTTAGTGGGCTTTCTACCTGCAGTCTCCAGAATTTTCAGCCAGCCTGGGTAGATGGCCGGGAATCCTGGAAAACACAGCAGGTTGCAGACGAAGGGATCACCCTGAGAACACTACATGAATTAATAGCAACCATTTTGGAAGACATGGCTCTAGATCCCCAAATCTTTCTCCCTTTGCCCATGGATGAAGACCGTCCTCAAGACCCCTGACTGCATCAGCGCATGGAAGGTTTCAACCAGAATCTCTCCCCATCCCTCCACTTACAACATTGATGTCAGCATGGATGAGTCTCAGTTCCTCCACGTGGGCCATCTTTTCTTGCAGCAGGAGATCCATCTCCTGTTTATACTCCTTCAGGTGCCTTTCTTCAGATTCCAGAGCCTCAAATTCTGCCTTCAGGCGGGCTTTGATCTTTTCCATCTGTAGTGTTTTATTTCTGGGGAGTGGGAGGTGGGGGAGAAATGGGGAAGACAGAGAAGCTGGATGACATTTTGGGGTTGCCAAGAGATATTTCCTCTTTCCTCACTGCAGTCAGGAGGGTCAAGCAATGAGAGATAAAGTTAAGCTTAGCTCCCAACAAGGGGGTCTGCAGGGTGTGGTTGAACAGGTCAAGATGGTGGTCATGATCGTATGATTGAAGCTCCACCTGCTTGCAAGCACCATCTTGACTTTTTTGACTACAACTTGCTCCCAGAGTTAATACGTTTTGCTGGCATTTTGCAGTTTAGATACAGGTAGTCCTTGCTTAATGACTGTTCATTTAATGACAGTTCAAAGTTATGACAGCCTCAGAAAAAGTGCTTTATGACCTGTACTCGCACTTACGACTGTTGCAAACCATCACACCCTCCTGCAGTCACGTAATCATGACTTGTGACCTTTTTATGATGGTCGTTAAGTGAATCACATGGTCGTTAAGTTAATTCTGGCAAAAAACATCCATTGGGAAAGTTGGATTCACTTAACGACCACATGATTCACTTAATAACCATGGTGATTCACTTAATGACCATTGTAAAAATGGTTGTAAAATCGGATCTGGTCATGGGATGACTTGCTTAACAACTCCCCACTTAACGACCAGTTTTCCAGTCCCTATTGTGGTCATTAAGTGAGGACTACCGGTATTGTGCAAATCCAGCAAACTGAGGTTTGTCCATTAAGCTACAGTTAAACCAGCTATGGTTTTGACCAATGTGTGAATCCAGTGCATAGGTCATGCTAAGCTATTCATTTAGTTTGCTTGGTTTTGGCTTACAATATAGTGCAAACCCAACCCCTATTGGTCAATCATGGGTTATAATTTGGTGGGATATGCAGATTCTGCCAACAAACCATGTCTTAATATGATGTGTGAGTTCAGAATTCAGGACAAAGGGTGCCTCTGAGACCATGTTAGTCTGGAAGTCAACATTCTTTACTGAACTGGAATCCCATCACTTGAAAATCCATGCTTGGTTTTCCTCTTAAACTTTTTTGGATCTCAGCAGCCCAGTTTAGAAGAATTTATCTGTTGTATCAGAAATCCGAAAATTAGAAAACTTCCTGATCTACCTCAAACTACACAGACATCAGCCAGTAGATCCTAATCCATCCTCTGCCAGTGCAACGCTTGGCCCCACTGCTAAGACACATAAAGGAGGGCACAGGCCATAATTCAGGAATATTTGGTGAATCCCAGGATTCAACCTGTAGCACCAGCCCTAAGATCTTGCATAGCTACAGTGCCCATACATCCTTCGTTATACAAGACAGTCCTCTATTTCAGAAAGCTGTCCTTTAGATTTATTTAATTATTTATTTTCTTGGTTTCGCTCTTGAATGTTCCTTTGTAAAGCAAAGCTATAAACATAAACAATTATTATTATTATTTTTTAATCCTTATGAACCTCTTTCAGGTTTGCTCCTTTTTCAGGTTTGTCCTTTTATTTTTTTTCAAGAAAATAAGGTCCCTGTATGCATAGCAAATGATGCAATTAACAGGCAAGACTGATGGGATTTATTTATTCATTTCACTTCGATGCTGCAGAATCTGCCCAGGATTCCTGGGAGATTTGCAACAATCTGGTGCCCTGTAGATGTATTGTGACAACTTCCACAATTCCTAGCGAGCCATGGCTTTTCTGATATAATTGGGGGCATGAGAAATCTTGAATAGCTTTAGCTACAAGAAATGAGAAAGCTCTAAGCATTTTAACACCTCTATCGTCCTCCATGGATGAAGGCACTATGCATTCCTCTCTAAACGGTATCTCCAAATCGAGGTCACCGTTATCCACTGTTTACTATAGTTATATACATCCTTCAGGCAGAACTTTCCCTAGATAAATTGATCCATACAAGTGAAAAACAACACAAATAAATGTTTAACCGCAACTGAAACAATAAACAGTCCATGGCAACATTTTTAGAGATATAACAAAAAAGTTGGACGGGTCCATTTGAAAGTTAACCAAGTCAGGTCATGCACACTTGTTTGGGGAGAGTTTGAAATGTAGGGTTTCCCCTGAGAAGACCCCCATCGTCAGCCCAGGGCAAGGAAGATTCTGCCCTCCAGATCAAGACTCCTGGCAAATTGGAAGTGGGAGAATTTGGCAGTTGGTGGGTTTCTTGAGAAAACATGCGTCTTGGTTTTTTCTTTGTTTCTTAACAGTCTCAAAGCACTTCATCACTCTGGTTTGACAGTGCAGAGAAAAAAAGGCCCATTCAGGAATCTGTTGTTGAAGGTGACAGATTCCTCCCCAAAAGGACACTCTAAAAAATTGGTGTGTCTGTAAGAATGACCAATCCAAGCCTTTATTTTGGCTTGAATAGCAACTCTCATCCCCACTGACCATTCAGCCTTCTTTCTTTTCCTGTGAATTTCCAACAGCCCTTTCATTCCTTTATGCTGCTCACAGAAAGGAAAGAAAGGGGGAAAATTCCAGGAGCATCATGATATCATGTGGCTTCTACTGGATGCCAAGCTTCCAGGTTGGCCTATTGTTTGGATCCCTACATTAGCAACCCTCTCGCCCCCTGCAAAAAACAAAACCAAATAAAACAGGGGAAGCTTTGTGCTAGGCTATTATTCTGCCCCATGTCCAGATATATTCAGGCTCAAATGATCCTACTTCAGACCCATTATGCAAAGACCCAGCTCTCTGCAGAAGGCTCTAATGCTGGGAAAGGTGGAAGGAAAGAGAAGAAGGAGACGGCCAGCAGCAAGGTGGAGGGACTCAGTTACAGCAGCGATGGGTGCATCATTGGAAGACCTGAAGGACCAGATTAGGGAAGATCATCATGGAGAAAATCTATTTATATGGTTGCTAGGAGTTGAAAATGACTCGATGGCATGTAATCAATCAAGCAATGCCAAAACCCAGCTCCCTTGAGAAGTCCGTAATGCTGGGAAAGGTGGAAGGAAAGAGAAGAAGAGGACGACCAGCAGCAAAGTGGATGGACCCAGTTACGGAGACAATAGGGCACCATTGGAAGAGCTGAAGGACCAGATTGGGGCAGATCATCACAGAGAAAATCTGTCTATATGGTTGCTAAGACTTGGCACTGCCTTGATGGCACGTTATCACCATAATCATCCAAAGATGTTGGACTGAAACCCCCTCATCCCTTACCACTGTGGCTGGGATTATTTCATCTGGAACCCATCACCCCCCCAGAAACTATGTGGATGCTGTATAATCAGGTGGTTTCATTAATACAAACTTGTGATGAAGATTGGTCTGGTAGAGCTTTCGATACGGAATTCTCCCATTTCTTAAACCTCCCTTTTTCCCGTTGAAAAAGAATTCTGAATTGGCACACACTCCTTCTTCCACCCCACACACCCCTCAGCGTACATTCAATTTCAAGGGAATATTTTCAAAGTGCATATTTAACTCAGAAGTCAGCCGGCGCGGCTGACTCCGTTCCAGATTCAGTGAATACCGAACTGCAGCTTCAAGGTCACTGGAGGCATCAATTAGCTTTCTGCGACTGTGATCCTATCCTATCCGTTACCCAGAAGTGCACTGGCTGGACACAGTAGGGGTTTCTCTCGAGTAAACCCACGTCTTGTCCATCAGCGCACTGAGAGGTTTCCTCCCAGACCCTGGTGCAAAAAGGACGCATGAAGGCTTCTCTCTCCCTTTGCAAACAGTTCCCATCGAGATCCACGCCTATAAACTTCAACCACAAAGGTGGGCGGGGGGGGGGGGCACGGCAACCATGCAACTTCCCGATAAAGCCTCAAGGGACCCGCCGTCCCCTGCCAGAATGCCATGTGTTCCCCAGCAACTTCGGAGCGGCTCTGTTTCTCCGAGCAGCTCCTCGCCACCTTCCCCCGCCGCGTCCCCAAAACAGGTGAGCCCGCACCGCGTCCGCTGCGTGTCTCTTGCAAGCCCACCCGTGGCGGTCCGCTCCGTGGGTTGCGGGTCCCCAGAAAGCGGGGTCCTTGCAAGGGGACGAGAAGGAACCCTAAGCCAGCTCGGCCAAATCGGCCTGCGCGTGAATGCATTCCCGGGATGGGGGACGCAGGAGGTTTGCCGGGGGGGGGTGGGGGGGGGGGGGCGGCCGGGGGCTGGGGGGGGGGCAG